GTTTTTGGAAAGAGTTTAGAAAGTGTTGGAAGCCAGGCATGGGGGTACATACCTATAATCCAAGCACTTGGAAGGCTGAGGCAGGAGGGTTGCTGCGAGTTCAAGGCCAACCTGGACTATTTAGTGAGTTCAAGGCTAGCCTGAGCTACAGAGCAAGACCCTGCCTTAAAAAGAAGAAAGATAAGAAAGGAAGGATTTTGAAAAGGTTGGCTGGAGAGGCAGTCCTAGAATGCTGTGAGCCACACTTGATGAGAGATTTTTGGTCAGAGCTCAGAATACCAGAATACTGAGAGTAATGCAGCTGTAAAATACCAGATTAAGAAGGTTTCATTTGGGAAGAAGGACTCCATTGGCAGTTGGGCTCAAGACCAAGTGTGTTGTACTTTGGCAGAAAATTTGTCAGCATTTTTCTCACGTCCAGAGACTTTTCAGGAGACTGAGGTTAAGTGTGGCAGACTAATTTATCATACAGAATAAATTTCAAGGCTATCTAATGTTGAGGCAGCAGCATGGCTACTATTTTAGTCAGACCTATGTTGAGAATCAAGAGCAAACAACCCACCATAATGATTTTAAAAAGAAAGATAATAAAGTTGCGGCTTATAAAGATAGAACAGAAGACATCTTGGTTTCTGAAAAGATTAGCACTAAAAAACCAAGTATTTCATAAGAGAACAATAGAAAATACAGCCTGAAAACATCTAAGAACCACCACTACTCTGCCTTTTGCAGCCTCAAAATTGCAAAAGTGAAAGACTTAAAATTTTAAAATTTTAGGATTTAAGATATAAGAGAGCCTTGAGGCACCATGTTCTGGAGTGCTCAGCAATCTAGGCACTTGGCCCCTACAGCCAAGAGAGAAGGAAGTATGGCTACTGCTCCAGCTGGCATTGGATCTTGGCATCATCCAAGTGCTGTTGATTTTAGGCACATGCAGAATGTAAGAACTGTGGAGTCAGGAAGGCTTCCACCCAGATTTCAGAAGAACATCTGGGAGTCCAGGTAGTGCGCCCCTGAGAAAGCAGAGTGTTAAGCTATGAGTGTGAAGCTGAAGGAGCAGTGGAGTCCCCAGAAGGTTGGAGATCTCCAGAATCTCATTCTAAAAGGAACACGCATCATCAGAAGAAAGTTAAAAGGAGTGAGCAAAGCTGTTGCAAGAGAGAAGCCTTGAGGACTGCAACCAGTGGCAGTGCCATGGGGGCAGGCCTACTCAAGCCCATCAGTATCTATATCTTGCCACAAATTGCCCCAGGTGATGGACATGGAAAAAAGGGACTTAGTATTTGTCCTGCTGGATTTTGGTCTAGCTTCGGTCTCATTCCTTTCTATCCCTCTACTTGGAATGGAAATGTTTATCTTGTGCCACTATAAATTGGAAATGTTTAACTTTCTTTTCACTTGTACAGGGGCTTGCACCTAAGAGTTTGGCTTCAGTCTCAGAGGAGAATTTGCATTTGGACTTTTCAACAATGCTGAAACTGTTAGGACTTCATCAACTTCTACAGATGGACTAAATGCCTTTTGCATAAAGGGATGTGCATAGATGTTTTAGGGGTAAGGCGCAGAATGTATGGCTTGTGTTTAGATGTCCCTCAAGGCCTTATACACTCATAGGTGGGACTTTCCACAGGTGGCTGGATCTAGGGTGTGTGTGAATATGGATTATGGGTGCATAGTAACTGGACTAATCCACTGATCAGAGTAACACAGTTCTGGGTGTGGCCAAATGGATTTACTGAAGACTAAAGATCCACTTTGGTGGGCGAATGATATAAAAAGGGGAAAGGGAGGCCTGTTGCTTGCTTCTTTCTCCTGCTTGCTATGCCATGAACTATTTCTTGTCTCTGATGCCCTTCTGCCATGCTGCCCCGACTTGGAGCCAGCTGATTATGGACTGAAACCTCTACAAACTGTGAGCTAAAATGTCTTCCTCCTTAACTTGTGAGTGTCAGGGATTTTATTCCAACAACAGAAAAGCAACTAAGACATATTGTACACACATGCCTACAGTAGGAGGACAAGTGATGTATATGCCTTCAACTGAGAGGACAGAAAATGATTATGGTGAAGTGAGAGGACAGTGGCTCAGATGCCCAGGGCCTTCATCCTGGACTATGAGGAAAAGACGCTCTTTACAAATTACCCCACTAGAGCAGACAAAACAGACTAAGACACTGGCCTTAATCAATTAACTATACAACTGACAAGGAAATGCAGCTGAATATTTAAAATAAACCAAAAATAAAAATAGGACTGTTAGGGAAAGGATCCAACAGGTAAAGTAGCTAAACTCCATGACGTACCAGGGAAGAGAGTCACAATACTGAGTTGCTGTAAACATATTTACAAAACACAGTTAAGTGTATGAGTAAAAATTAAATGGTGCTGGTGGTAGCAGCACCCAGCTGTCATCCCAGCTACTTGGGAGGCTGAGGCAGAAGGATCACAGGTTTGAGGCCAGCCCAGATAATTTAGCAAGACTCTGTTGCTAAGGGCTGGGGCTGTTATTCAATATCAGAGTGCTTATCTACCATGTGTGAGGTCCTGGGTTTAATCCCCAGTACTAAAAAAATTACATGGTGTGTGGTCCATGGAACATTGTTCAGGAAGGATACTGTGACCACACAATAGCATGGACACCCTGAGAACTCTGCCAAAGGAAAGCAGCCAGTCACAGGGGACAGATTCTGGGTGGTTCTACTACCACAGGTCCCTATATGGTCAGATTCATAGGGACAGGAAGTTGAGTGAGGTGGCCACAGCTAAAGGCAGTGGGGGCAGTTACTGTTCCATGTCAGCAAGGTGGCCTTCTGTGAGATCCTTCCAGCTGGCAGGTGGCCACCTTCTCTGTATCCTTTGTGGTGAACACAGAAAGAACTCTGGTCTCCTCCTTTCTTGTAAGAACACTAAGTCCACCATGGGACAGTCACTTATGACCTCACCCAAACCTGGACACCTCCAAAGGCTCCAGCTCCTGGGTAGGGCTTTGCTAAACACAAGAAGGCTTGAAAAGATTATCACAGAGGCACTATTCACACTGGCAAGAATCTGGACGTGACACAAATATTCATGGAAGCAAGCAGGATTAGAGATGTGAAATATTCACTATTGGATTTTTAACTGGTGCTTAGCATGAATAAACCAAGACAGGCCACAATATGAATGAATCTTAGTGAAATGTGGAGTGAAAAGGTAAATCACAGATGATGATTTTATAT